AGCCCTTTCCTTCCTTGTTTGCTTTTTCCAGGCACAGAAAGGGTTGGAATTTTGAATCAAACAAAGGTCAGATAGGCCCCCGTCCCATTCTATTTCCTAAGATCCGTCGTGGTTCGGAGTCTCGTACTAACCTCGCCCTATCGTTGTAAGGCGGATGGAAGATGGCCTTCAACATGAGCTCTCTCGCTTTACTTTATCGGTAAAGCATTTCTTGCTAGATCGGATTGAGAGTGACTTCTTCCGCTGTCTATGTTTTCAAACATTTCATCGGTGTCGACATTTTCTTCATCTCAGCCAGTTCTGGCTTGCTCCGTACAGGCTACCTCTCGACCTTTCATTGATATTTTTTTCAATTCTTTTTTGAAGCCCTTCCTTCGATCTACCGCCTCTTCCTTAGTCTTTGGTTGATCAGGCCCTTTGTTAGGCCTCTCCGTCTTATAAGAGTAAGACTTCTCCTTTCACCTAACCACTCGACTGACGAAGGAGGGAAAGGGAATAGCAGCACTCCCAAAGCAAAACATTTTCCACTCGCAAGAATGACTTCAGGTCCAGAAAGCAGAGGAAGAAAAAAAGAGAAGAATGAAGAAGAAATTCACGGACTCTCGAACTAATGCGGACACAACGCGGAACCCATCTAAATGGACCACAAAAGAACCCCGAAACACGGAAACAGATGCACGCTTTAACTAAACTTTTTCCATGAAGTTGATCTCCCCCTGACGATTCACCCAGACTAATCCTGCAAAACATGGAATCGGTGCGTCGCCCCGTTCAAGAAGAAAGAGTTCCCCCGAAAGATCTAGCCCATAAAGGAAACCCTCAATCTCTTCGACTTCAAAAGGGAAAGGTGCGGACAGTGGAAACGAGAGAAAGGTTTCATAGAGAAACCTCGAGTAGGAAACATCAGGAAAAGAGCGCAAAAACTCTCGATCGAAGTCATCGAGTAAGAAATTCACTAATACGTTCGCTATAGGGCTTACTGGCGGTATACCAACCCCCACTGACGAGGACCAGTCTTGCCCATTATCGTCCAATATGCGTAATGCTAGAAAAGAAGAAATAAATTCTAAAAAATTCTAAATTTAGTGATGAAAACCATGAATCGAACTATTCGTTCATCTATTGTGCCGTGTTTCAAGTATTCAACAGTGCAGCGTTTTAGGTATTCAACAGTCTCATTGGATAACAAAGGTCATAAAATGAATGAGTTTTTACAGAAGTTTTATGAGGTACTTGAGAATAATCAGGAGAGTCTTTCTATTACAGCTTCTAATTCTAACGTTTCTCAGTATCAAGATCATGTTATTAGAATTTTAAATGAACATAAGGATAAAGCTTTATCAGAAGATGAATTAGTCAAATTACAATACCTTATTGAGTCCCATACCATTATGTATGATGATATCAAAATTTTCAGTTAGCTCCTGATTTAGTCGAACTTTTGATTAAGGATGATGAACCCTCTGCTAAAGACTTTCTTAAGAATAGCATGAAGCTTTCTTCCGAAGAATTAGAATTTATTAATTTCTTTAGTCAATATTCATTAGAAGTTCTCATTGTTTACACACTTGGTTCTGTCTTTAATTGTGTACATAGTTTGAATCCTGCTGTTCGCGTATCTACTCTGGTAGAACAGCTTGATAATATCGTTAAAGCACATGCTAAATTGGTGAATGAACGAAATAAAGCTATAGTACCTAAAAAATGTAAATCTACTAAAATAAATGAAATAGTTGAGGAGCTGACAAGTGATGATATGAAGATGGATAAAACTAGTGATAAGAAGAAGAAGAGAGCAGTTACACATAAATTTATTATTGGAGCTTTATTGATAGAATTTTGAGTCAGTATAAAAGTGATAACTCTCTCGAATGAATTAGGATTTACAAAGGTATATGATACTAAGAGGAAGAATGGTAAGTATTATATACCAAAAAACTTATATGCAATATGCAATTTTAATATGGAACTGAATCTACCTATGGTTTGTAAACCAAGGGATTGGGATATAATTTCTCATTTAAAAAAATCAAAAGGTAACCCTCGATCATTATCGGATATTTCCGGGGGGTATTTAAGCAGACCTATTGGTGATTTTTATTATATTCATCGCTTTAACCTTTTAACAAGTCGTGACTTTGATCATTTTAATATTGTCTTAGGAGAGAGATACGATATTTTGTTGAGTAGCATGAACTACTTACAGGCCCAAGCCTTTGAGATAAATATAGACGTTTTAGATTTCCTTAAAAGGAATTTGGATTCCTTAGTTAAATCAGGCCTACTTATGCCTAGTCATCTTGCATCATTGAATATAGCCAAAGCTACCTCACTCTTAAGAAAGGCTTACTTAGAGGATAAATCTATAACAAAGGATTTTCAATATCAAGATTTGCTTAATGAGTTCATGTTGCGTATTCAACGTGCTCGTTATGAGAAATTTATATTCAAAATAGCATCAGCCTACGCAGGGTATAAGTTTTATCTACCAGCCTTCGTTGACTTCCGTGGTAGGATTTACCGCTCTGGGGTATTACATTTTCATGAACGTGATTTAGCTAGGGGTCTAATAGTATTTTCTTCTGTAAGAAAGAAATCAGATACTGATATCAATGAGGTATATGATTTTATAGCTAATGCTGCTGCTTTTCATTTTAAGAAGTTTGATACTTATGAAGATGCTAATCAATGGTTTCACGACCAGGAAGTCAATTTGAATTCTGATGATAGACTCATTAAGTTTGCTGGAGATGCTAAAAATCCATATCAGTTCATAAGCAAGGTTTTAAGTTTCGGTAAACACGGTACTATATCACCTTTGCAAATTCCTATCACACAAGATGCATCAGCAAGTGCTTATCAGCTCATTAGTTGTCTTTTGTTAGATAAAGAATTAGCTAAGCATACTAATCTAATTCCCAATCCCGAGGTGGATAAGGAGGGTAAATTCTTTTTAGAAATAAAAGATGTTTACAACTTCTTTCTAAAGGAAGTTAAGGACTCTTTGAAGAAAGAATTGGAGTCAAAACATCCCGATCTTGCGGACGTAGTTTGTCCTCGCCTTAATCGAGATTTAATAAAAAAAATCTTTATGCCATTGGTATATGGAAAGACATTACACAGTATATCAGAAGATATATATCAACATTTTTCAACGTTAATTAAGAAAAATGAATCTGGGTATTTGGCTGAAATGATCGTTTATTTCTTTAAAAGTAGATTCGACTCTATTATTAACCTAATGAATTGAATTCGCAATGTAGGTTGGATATCATCCGCCAGGGGAAAACCTGTCTACTATAGTATTCCTTATTTTATAACTGTACAGGACTATATGAAATCGAAACCAGAAAAAATATGGATTTATGATCGTATACATAAAAAAAGGCGTCAAGTAACTCTACGAATTCCCACATCTGATCGTGATCGCAAAAAGACTTCTTCTGCTATTTTTGCTAATTTTATTCATCAGAAAGATGCTTTTGTAGCCATATCTACGATTCATGATATGAAAATAAAGGGTGCACCCTTATATACGGTACACGATAATTTCATTACTAATGCTGCTTACGCTACGGAAGCCGGAAAGTGTTACATAAATGCATTTTTTGTTAAGGGGTTTGAACCTTTAAAAATGATTAATTACTTTATTATGCTAAATCTAAAAATAGATAATGGCGTTCTTAATCAATATGATATCACTCGTTATCCTATGCATTTAAAGCATCTTGAAATAAACTTAAGAAATAGTATACCTATTAATTTAAATAAAAAGGGTCTTCTTATTTGGGAAGAAAAGATAAAAGCAATAATGGTTGCCTACCATAAGTATATAGAGACTATATGCGATTTTGAAATGACTGATGAGAGTAGCTTTTCCGATGACTCTGCCAAAAGATGGTCTGATTTCCAGGATGATTTACTCCTTTGGAAGGAATTGCCATACAATTACTGTTTACATTTATAAATGAAAAATAGATATTACACAACAACAACCATGGTGAATCAAATGGATAAAATGAGTTTTGATTTAACATGGTCTAGCTTTCAGCTTATTAGAAAGGAAGATAAATGCAGTGTACCCTATTCAGGATTGAAAGTAGCTAGTGTATCTTTTACGGAACCTATTAGTTGTAATAACTGTGATCTGATAGTATGTGCTGTAATGAATTTACTACTCAAATACGCTTACACAACAGAGTCATCTTATGGTAAGTTTACTATTTCTTATGATATGAGAAAAAAAGAAACATCCGAAGTTTTTTCCTTTACAATAGGTCCAGCTCTCACATTTAGAGAGAATGAGATAGATCAGCCTGTGTATGATATGGTTGAAAGACTTGTGTTTCAGAAAGCTGAGACATACGAAGATAGTGAGCTATCTGGTATTTTTATTCGAATATATCTTTTAGATATGAAGGATAGTGCGATGCCTAAGCCGCTCTCTGATGAGGAGATTGCTAGCAAGATCTGGGAATGCATTAACAGTAAGGTGGTGGTTGAACCTAAGGAAACAATAAAGTTCAAACATAGTAAGCGTCGTTATCCAGAGTATCTCACTGCACTCAAACCGAGTAAAAGACCAAAGCAGTCTTTCATTGTTGCTGATTCAGAGACTGTTCTAATAAATAATGTTCATGTACCTTACGCAGCGGGCTTTTTAGTTGTTAGAGTAGGTGATGAGCTGCTTTCAGAGACTGCCAATCGTATTGAAACATATTTTAGTGAGGATTACCCTCATATTTTATTTAATACCTTTGAAAAAAGGAGCAAGAAGATGTTGTTCGACTTTATAGAACGTTTAGCAGCAGTTGTTAGAAATGAACCATCTATTAAAACGGTCTATTTCCACAACTTCTCACGATTCGATGGTATTCTTATACTGAAATATTTAGCTACTCATGGTATGAAGTACACGTTCATTCCTCTTATGAGGAACAATATGCTATATGAGTTAGCTATCTATCGTGGAAAGAAGCTGCTATTCCGTCTAAAGGATTCCATCACATTGCTCCCAAGTAGTCTTGATAAATTAGCAAAAAATCTCTGTCCAGAATTAGGAACAAAAGGATCAATCCAACATGAGGATGTGCAAGAGTCGAATCTGATTCCTCTCCGAAAGGAATTGTTAGACTATATGAAGCAGGACATCCTTCTCCTTGGAGGTGTAATGCAAAAAGCTCAAGATATATATTGGACTCAGTACAAAGTAGATATCGTGACAAAATTAACCTTGTCATCGCTAGCTCTCACGATTTTTCGTTCGGTTTATTACAATCAAAAAGACTGGCCTATCTATATCCCAAATCGGAACGAAGACTCTTTCATTCGTAGTGCTTACTATGGTGGCCATGCTGATACATATATACCACATGGTGAAAACCTATATTACTATGATGTAAACTCTTTGTATCCATATATTATGAAAACATTTCCTATGCCTGGGGGTAAGCCCATATGGGATGGAAATTTACTAGGCCAGGACTTAGACAACTTGTTTGGTTTTATTGAAGCTTATGTTGAGTGTCCACCTAATATAAAACGACCATTTTTACCATATAGGGATAGTAAGAGGAAAATACTACGCTTCCCTACAGGTCAATTTGTAGGGGTTTATTACAGTGAAGAATTAAAGTATGCGCGCGACATAGGCTACCAGATCATGCCTCTAAAAGGGTACTTGTTTGAAAACAAGAATAGCACCCCTTTCGGGGGCTTTGTTTCCACCCTATTCGAAAAAAGACAAGAAGCTAAGAAAACTGGTAATGAAGCCTTGTCCTATGTGTACAAGATCCTTATGAATTCACTCTACGGTAGATTTGGAATTAACCCTAATTGCACATTCACCGAGGTCTGCGATGTTAATCGATATAACATTTTGACAAAGACAACAGATTTCATTTTTGCGGACAAGCTTAGCGAACATTACTATATCGTCAGTTACCATAGCTATATCTATGCAGAAGAAGAGTCGGAGTGGAAGCCACCAAGGATATCAGCTGTTCAATTGGCTGCTGCGGTCACAGCTTGTGCTCGGATTCATATGTATCCATATATTTCCAGACCAGACTGTTACTACACGGATACGGACTCTGTTGTTCTTGGTAATCCTCTTCCTGAGGTCTTGTCAGAGCCATAGAATTGGGTAAGTTTAAATTAGAACACATTGTAAAGAAAGGGTACTTCTTAGCACCAAAGTGTTACTATATTCAGACACCTGAAGATGAAAAAATCATACGACACAAAGGTCTTACCAAATCATTGGTCGATGAAGAATGGTTTGAGACGCAATACGCTGATATATCAAGAATAAAGATAACACCTGTTGTATCTAACTTCAGGATTCTTTGGGATAGACTAGATATCATTAGAAAAGAAACACAAGCTAGCCTTGGTATCAGTGCTAGTAACAAAAGGATACCTGTATATGATACTAATCATCTTTGGGTGGACACTGTACCATTTGATGTTACAGACTTTGCTGGTCAAGAAAGAAAGGTACTTGAATATAAATTGAGCTGTCTTCAGAAAGAAAATGAGAAATATAGAGGCTCAAAAAGACAGAGAGATTTCTCATTTAGAGTCTAAAGTAGCTAGTTTGAATTCTAAAGAATGAAGACCTCTCTTTCGAGTAGCATTCGTGCATTTCTTGAAAGCGAGCCAGTCCTTTGGTCGCCGCCAACCAGCTAACTCGAACCAATAAACGG